GAGATGATGATTTCGTCATCAGACGAATGTTTAATATCACCTATACTTCATTAATTATGTATATATTTTTACCTATTTATATTATTTTGTATTATCTCATTTATCTTATTTATCTTATATAACCTAACTAGTATTATTAATTATACTCTGTAATTTTATGCATTTAATTTAATATCTGTATTATTTAATGTATCGTATTGTTTCGTAAATTGTAATTACGTCTAATGGTCATAGCAACCGCGGGCCTGTTCCATATAATACGAAAAAAATACTATTAATACTTATCATAATAAAACGAGTATCACACAACCCAAAAAAGAAACCCAGTATAGAATAATCATATTTTTATGTCCATTCTGAGATGCACACAATTACAACTATCAAAATACGCATTGGGTATGTAGTCAGTACTCAGTTGAACTAAAATTAAAAAATACTCAAACGTTTTAAATTATTTGACGCAAAAAAAATATTTCAGTATTTTTATCGGGCTAGGATTCAAATTTAAATAGCTAATATTTATGGCCATAATGTTGTTTTAGACTTCTATTCAGTAAAAAAAAAAACAAATAACATACCGGCTTCAGTCCCTATTATTTATTTTGGTATACTGTAGAGCCATATAGACGACGCACATTTCATGCATTCACCATCACTCAATACTTTCACATACAATTTACTCAGTCGATTACGAACTGTAAACACATATGGACACGAGCATTTTTTAACCGTTAGATATTTTGCGCAGTTTTTGATTAATAACGACTTTATAATATTGCATAGATACCCAACGATAGTAATAATAAATAGTACGCGGGTTAGATACCGAAGCTATTCAAATTATAAGATTTTTTAATTTTAAATGTAAAAATCCCGAGCCCATTGTCGATTTTCAGTGCTGTCAAAAATAAAGTATTTGGCCTTAACTAAAACACATTTTTTTTGTTAACCTCACTATGGTTATATATACAGGTATTGGTTATAGATTATAAAACCTTTTTAATTTTACTATAGGCAGTACCTATATTAGTAGGGCATGGACCAATTGCGCCTAAAACAAAATTTGTATTTTAGGGTCAGTATACCAATTACGCCTCTTATATTTTATAGTTGATGTACCAATTATTACGCGTGTAATTTAGTAAATGTGCAACATTCAATCTTGATTTAATCCAAAAATAATCGTTGCCGATTTCGAACAAGCTATACATTTTGCAGCTATACAATTCTGCCTTCAATACTTTTAGTGGGATTTAGATTTCATTTATCACAAGCTTGGTGGAGGAATATTCGAAGTTATGAACTACAAAAAGAGTATAAAAACCCTAATTCTTAAGGAGAAAAATGGCTGCATTTAATTTTTGGTTTGTCACTTTTTCCACACGAAAAAGTGAAGGATGTGTTTGTAGAAGAAATAATGATGATTCTAATTATCTCACCTATTAATACTCTCAAAAACTTATTTATGTGTTTATATATATTTTTATTATATTTATAATTACGATTTAATTTTAAATAATTAACGATCAAACTTCGACAAAATATAGGCTAAGTTAATAAGTGATAGGCCCAAACAGGAAATGAATTTAACACACAGTTTGAGACATATAAGAGGTAGGATTTTGAATAGGCTACGAAGTGAATGGGTTCAGCTATAGTGTTATATATGTGCAATTTTAAAAGAATCCTTTTACACTATACAATGTTAAGTCTGCAGTTTAATTAGTGACATATTACCACATAGGAGATAAATCACAAAACACTAATATAAGGCAAATCGATTAAATAGTCAACTTTAATGGTCAATGGTGTCATGGTGCCGACTAAGAGTTTACAATGTTTGATGGGAGAAATATATGATTGTGAGGTGTGTCAGTGTGGAATATATGAAGTGGTGTAGGTATAGTCGTTACTCATCATATATCAATTATATTAGAGGTTTACACTGTAGTTTAATTGAAAATTTGAAAATCTAACATTGAAATTAGGATCTTAAGTTGTCGCTCAGTCCTGGGATTCGACAAATAATGTGATACCGATACAAAAGTCAAATTCAACATCATGCAGAGTAACCGTTTTTAAAATACGTATAATCCAAAAAAAGGACATTAATTAATATTAAACGATGACCTATCCCATGTTAAAAACAAAACCTATATATTATATTTTAGTCATTATTCATTAATATTAAACTGTTATGGTCTGGAATGATTGGTATAGCCGTATAAGTACTTTAGTTATAACTAAATTATATAAACACATCACTCAAAACTATTATTGAACCAACTAATTTATTGTACAKCAATGTTAATCACGAACAATATAATATAATGATATTAAACTATACAAAATCAATGTGCAAAGCTCTCACTTGATATAAAATATGACGAAAAGCCATTAACAGTCAATTAAAATATAAAATTTAGTTTATAATAGCAGTGTACGCTATAGTGTAGATGTACTGATAAAGTGCCTATGAGAGAATTTCCGGAAAAAAAAAACTATATTATTATTTATTACCTACAAATTAATCTCCACTATACATAATAATAGCATAGTGACGTTTTGAAGATCCGAACCAATTATATCAGTAGACATTCAGACTTAACTTTCTGAAGTTTGCAGAGTAAACAATGTATTTACTAAATTTACCTGGACAAACATTGGCTAAAATGGCTATATTCACGCACTAATGCTCTATATTAAGTCGATTGAGCGGATGCCAATTGAGTGTTGTTAGTTACCTATACACACATTTTTAACAGATGACGACAGATCGAGTTTTGGCATAAAACTGTGTTTGAGTATCTATACATTTACGCACATTAGATTATGCCGAATCTGTTTAGAATGACGGGTTTATAAGATACACAACAATCGAACATTCTTATTAAAATAATCGCTTTGAAATATTTTTATGTAAATTGTAGTTGGAAAAAAAATCTACGATTAAATTATATTATGTTTAGCAAAATTTTTTAACCAAAACATTCAACCTTAACCCAAAACAGTTTATGCCAAAATCGTTCTACGTTAATTTGTGTTAAATTTGTTTGTGCCAAAAATCCGTTTTCTCCCATAAACAGCTAGTATGTCATCTTCATAATTGTCTGATGTTATGATTCGTAAAACAGAATTTTAAAAGAAGTTTTATTTCGAAAAAATATTATTATGGACCGGCATGTAGTATTTTTTTTTTAAACTAAATTATAATGACAAAATTGTACTTCTTAACATGACAAAATAAACAGGTATGACAGCAATATTTCATTCTGATGATTTTCTGCGCAAATATGGCGTACGTTATGCTCCACTTCTCATTGGTCGAGAATTGATCACAAGACTTATCAAATATGCATAATTCGTTTTGTGATAAAAGTGATATATTTTGAAAAATGAAGTGTCTTTCGAAATTAATCATTACTCTTCGAATTCTTATTTAATATTTTTACTAAAGACTTGTACCTAGTAATTTTATAAATTAGATTTCGCACTTATTTATAAAATGCCGATGAGATCGTTCGAAGGGTTTTGTCTTAGATCATATAGTAAATGATCTAAGGGTTTTGTGAATTGCGAATGATAACAAACGTACTGATAAGGAGCAAAGCGTCAGCCATTTTGTGCGTATCACAAAGTTGCTGTCATACCTGTTTATTTTGTCATGCTTCTTAATATATACGATATACCTAAGTTATAACAACTTAATAATAAACACTTTCTCCTTTGAGCAATTCATAAAAAAATTAACAAATAAATTTGTTATTTGTCTGAAATAGTTATCGCCATATATTGAGGAATATAACGTAATTACTAAATAATATTAAAAAAAACTTTTTTAATAAACCGTATTAAATACTGTTCTTCACGACTTCACAAGACATATCAAAAAACCACAAATTAAAAAAACAATGCTTATTTTCGTATAAGGGGAACATAACAAAATAAATTCATATAAATAAAAGATTTTTTTCTCAGTTTTCTAACAATAATTTTAGACTATTTAAACTAGTGACTTGGTATTAAACTTAGGAACAACATTTTCAAACAAAAATATCTAGTTTAAAAACTGTAAGTCAGTCTTTGCCAAGGTAACTTTTTTTTTTTATGTTAAAATTACGGATACATAATAACCGTGGTTACCATTTAAACGCTTGAATAAAAAATATGAAAATATGCAATATTCATAATAATTATAATAGTAATTTAATCTGTTTATCATTGAAAACCATTATTTATACAAACAAAAATATTTGGTTTTCGTAAGCCAAAACTAAATTTTAATTCAGCCAACTTAAACCAACATATTATGAGAGTTGAAAAATTAAATTAAACATCTTAGTTATTGATAAAAATGTCATGAAATTGGTCATAAGTTCTAAGATAAGTCGTCAGCAACTTGCGTTCGTTAGAGTAACAAGTTTTCGTTTGTTTGCACAAAATTGTTACAGTAATACATCTTCGGGAAGCGAGCACATATATGATACACTTCTCTGGTAACTTAAAGTAATAACTATTATATTCAAAATAAAAGAACTTGAAACAAAATATAGGTATGTACTCTATTTATAGGTGTTTTTAACGAAAATTTACCTAATAGTTTTATTGAAGTACATTAGTAAATGGTTTAATGTTCTAATACAATCTGACACATAAATTATGCTTATATAAGAAAATTATTTTACAAAAAACTAACGACATAATAATACTCACAATATTTAAAGATAATCTAATTTCAGGTCTAAGCTGAAAAATAAACATTTGTTTATTTTGAATTTGTTACCAGGTTACCTACTTATCAAACGACAAACAGTACATTACTTTATTATTAATTTTTAATTAAAAACTTTTTTAAAAACTACTGTGGTGCCTCACCGGACTAAAAAACTCACGTTGAGCCCCCAAAATAATTCATAAAATAGAATAAAATTCTAAAGTTTTTATTTTATAACTTATTATTATTATTACTATTATTTATATTATATTAATTTAGTACGTACCTTGTCGGAATCTGTAGTGTTTCCTGATCCAAAAGAAGCCAGTGATCCTCGGTCTAAGTTTTCTTCTTCTAAATCTCTATATGATAAATTAAATTGATTATAATAATTTGAGAAGCAAATGTGTAATACACATACCGGCTAGATCGTTGACTGTCAGGTTTAAGTTTTGCTGGACTTTTGGGCATATACATACGCAAAGCTGAATTGAAGTATGTTTCTTGAATTACTTCCCTGAGTTTTTTCACCCAGGTTTGTTTTGCTTCTAATGTGGACGCTTTTAACACAATACGGTAATCAGAAATTGGTGCACGGCCAGTCCACACGGCAAATTTGCATTCATCTCCTTCAATGTGTTCAGTTACACCAAGTTCCGAAGTCTGAAATAAGTTTAGTATTAAACATTAATACTATAAAAAAATCAAACATATTGAAGATAAATTACCATGAGTTTATTTTTGTATAGGTATTTTACTTTAGGATTATTTGAGTGATCTTTTACATGTTTGGCAAATACTAAATACAATTCAAACAAAAAACAATGCCTTTCACGGCTTTTACGTAACAGATGATGTCTTGAATCAGAAACGTATAATGTATCTTGTACAACAACATCACCAAGTTCATCAGTAGAAATATCACATCCTTCTAATAAAGACAGATGCAATGCATCATTGGCCTTTCGGGGTACACTCAACATCACGTCCAAGCCATCTTTAATTTCTCCTTGGCCTTCTTTGCAACATGATTGGAGATCTTTTAATAGCAATTGGTACTTGGTGATTCTTTGTACTGGTTTTATTAAATAAGCAGCAATAGGATGATCAATGTTATGTTTCTTTTGAAGCTCTTCAAAAACGCCACCACACGAACCAGAGTGTTGCACTAATATGGCATTAGACTCTGGTTTATTTTTACAATATTTCACATACATATCAAATTTTTGAGCCCAAGTGACAAAACAATGTCCCACATCTTCAGGCATTGTCTCATACTTTTCCAGTTCTTTGATAAAAACATCTCTATGAAAATTGCGTATGTCTTCAATGTTACCAAATAGAATATCAATTCGTCCATGAAGTCCAATAGGGACATTTTGAAGAGCCCGTATTTCATCTAAATAAGCTTTGATACAAACATCTAAGTCTTTTACATATGTTCTTTCAGTTTGGAGAAGTTCCGCCATAATGAATCTAGATAAACAAATAAAAATATAATAATTTTTGTAAAGTAAAATAAAAATAAATTCTTATTTTAACTTACTCTTTTCTTCTAGCTGATCTCCTTTTTTCTTCATTTAATTCTTTCAGATCTTTAGTTGATTCTTTTACTTTTTGTTCTAAATTTGGATCTGAGTTTCTATCAATGGACAGATCACGAGTATCAACATGTTCTTGAATGCCTAAACTCTTTTCCAATTCAAACCTTAACATAYAAAATCAAAATTACATTTTAAGTTTATAAACTTTTAGTTGTACCATTTATATACCTATATTTATCCATTCTAGAACTAAAATGTTTGTAGGTATTATCAACTGCAGCCACCCATTGTTTTATGGCATTGGCGTGAGCATGGCCTTTTTCCACTAAATTGTCAGCTAACTGTATTAATAACTTGACTTTTTCTCGTGTCTCTTTGGCCGATGTTTTAAACTCATTATGCTCACGAAGTAAATGTCTTGTTTCATCCTAAGTGTAAATAAAATTTTAATAATAATAATTTAATCTTAACTATTTATTTGACTAACCTGTGTAGCACCAACAGTAGTATGAGTATTTAGATATTGTTCACCAGCATTGTGTATCCACTCCATTGCTTGTTTGGCTGACTTATCAAACAATACAAACTGCTGACACTGATCAAGTCGTTTTTTTCTTTGAGACCAATGATCGAGTACTTTGTTTTCCTGGCCTGATAATTTTTCAAGAATGTTTTTAACTCTAGCTTCAGAAGCTGTGTCTACAGTAGCTATAGACTGATTAGTACAGCTATAATACTGCAAGCTACGATTAGTATATTTTAAAAATGTTTCAGCCGTTCGCCTGGCCAATGTGCATGCTTTTAGAAAAGCTTCTTTTTGTTCTTGATGTTTAGTACAAAGTTGTCCTAATTTATCAGCTTCAATACTACCACCACCACACCAATCTTCCTCACGACGGTATTCTCTTTCAAGACTATCCATAACAGAACATACCTAATAAAAATAAATAAAATTGTAGTATGATAACATAGATAAGATATTTTGTTTGTGCCGTCGGCCTACAGTCCGACGTTAAACGACTGTGCAGTAGTGTGTGTGYGCGAGTGGACACTACACACTCGTCCACAGTCGTCGTCGTTGTCGTGCGAGCGCTAGCGGACGAGTCGTCCGCCTTGCACTCGTTCGCGTGATTATTATTTATTACGTTTCGGCCGTTTCGCTGTCTTTTTATAAATTGTTAATAATAATTATAATGTTCATGTTTAATAAATATCTAATTGTGTTTTAATAATTGGCTTGTGAGTTTCCTAGTGTGTAGGACTAAGGCCCCTCCTACAGTTCAGAAGTGGGATTCGAACCCACGCCCTCAGATTTAATTTTATTTTAATTTTATCATTAATTTTATGTTTGAAACAAATGCATTACTAAAAAAGTTTACAGTTAACACAGATAATACAATGGTTAAAATATATATTTACTTGTTCTGCAGTTTTATAGAAGTTTAGACTAGCGGTGACTAATTTGTGTCGTTCTTCAGCACATGTAACCAACTGTTGCCACCGTTTAGTCACTTCAACTGCCATTTCTTTTACTGTAGTTAAATCATAATGATTTGCTGCTACAAGAGATTCAGCCAATTGTTTTACTTGAACAGCAGCTGAATGAGTTTTCTAAAAGTAAAAATGGTTTGAAAATTATCAAAGTATGTTTTATTTTAGTGTAATTACTTCAATCGCAACTTGAAATTGTTCATGTTCTTTTTTCAGAATTTCTGCATCAACTAAACAGTTGGGAATAGTAAAATTTGCTGATAGCATTGATTCACCATTACGAATCCAACTAATTACCTAAGAGTGAAAAAAAATTAATACATATCATCCTGTTATATAGTATAAAACATAACGATTCTCAATAAAAAAAATATATTTACTTGTGATGCATCATTATTAAATTGACACAATTGAACAGCTTGATCAAGCCGGCTACGTTTAATTTCTGATAACTCTACCAAGTCCATATGTCGTTCATGCAAAAACTCAAGCAACACTTGTACTCTAGTTTGAGCAGTATATTGACTATCAGCCATTACACCGACTCCGGATTTATCCAACACCTTGTTTAACAAATACACATAGGTACATAGCACATTATTAAAAATATTTTTGGTCCATCATTTTAATAGTGGTGATTATTATTAATTAATATTTTATTAATCCCATTATCTTCTTCTTATATTAATAATAATTTACTTGAGCCAATTGTTCGCCTTGCTCCAGTGCTTGGTAAACTGCTGCCTGCATTTGTGCTACTGAATCATTGTGGCGAGATAACCGTGACTCAGCTTCTGCTAATGTTGTTATTACTTCATTTTGATTTCGTTCTAGTTCATTTGCCCAAAGTTCCAACTGAGAAGAAACCTGAAAGGCATAGATAAAAAAATGGAAAAATAAATAAATAAAATAATACTTGGGTGCTGATTGAATTATGTGTCTGCACAGGGTGTTTTAAATGAACATGAGAATAACTATGAAGACAACGGGAAATCAGAGAATAAACTTTTTGTTTTCATATCAAACTGACATTGAATTTAAAGTATTATTGCCAGTATGTCCCTGCTATAGTTCTAAAAGGCTAAGAATAGAACTGGCTTAAAACCAGTGAATTGAAAAAATTGTATTTACTTAGCGCCTGTTATTCTGCTACAATTCATAGAAAAATAAAACATATTATCCACAAATTATTTGTTAACATTTAAGACATTAATTTTAATGATAAAAAAAATAACAACAAATTCAGAACAATTATATAAAAAATCAATGCCATAAATGATTGTACAAAAAATATTGAGAAATACAGTCCATGTGACTATGTATTATTGATACCTTTAATAATAAGAAAAATTAATTAATTAATGTTAATTATAAAAACAAAGAATATTCATAATGTCAATTTTTTTCTTATTTATACATATAAAGATACATTAGATTATTCTTAAAGAACTTACTTCGAGTGCATCCCTTTCAAAAATCCGTAATCTCAGGCATAAATCCAATTTTAATTTTCGAGTTGCCCATAGTTGTTCCAACTCTAAGCGTTGTTTATTTAAACGCTCGAGCGCAGCATCTACTGCAGCAACTGATCCAGTGGGGTCCATTTCAGCAGTCACGCCTCCACTTCTACAGAGAAAAAAATTTGGTTTTAATAATAGTTTTGCAATTTTTTTTTAACTACAAACTCGTATTCTAACAATTTTTTTATAGTAGTTTTGTTATTATTTTTCGCCCAAGTAATTTTAGATTTCACCATAGTACTATTAGTTTGGGTAATTGATTTTTTTTTTTTATACATTTTTTTTTAAGGTAAACCAAAAATTAATAACTAATGAAAATGTTGTGAAACGTACATATATAATTATCATCATTAGAACGGAGTAATAACACTACGAATATATAAGCGCTTAGGTTATACATGCAAACTTAAGATAACAAACGTAAAATAATGCGTGAATAAAATTATTTAGAGACGTACAGAAACGTAAGATAAGAAAATGCGAACGATAAAGAACAGGCGCCAATGTACTGACTGATTTTTAGCCAATCGCAAACAAATTAGCAGCTAGGCAGAATTGGGATAGTTTGCTTTGCTATTAAACGACTGTTTTAGTAAATTATTTGATTTAATTTTATGAAACACGTTTATACTAATGATGTAACTATGTTGGTGCACAGAGGATAACCCTCTCACTGGTATTATATATATCTAATTCAAAAATGAATGCACAAATTCTTAAATCTTTAGATCTTAGTTGAATAATCAATAATATCTGAGGACTGACATTAATAATATATATATATATATATATATATATAGGGGTGTGTGTATGTGTAAACCAATAAGAAAACAATTTCAGAATCAGAAAATCTTTTAACTTTTACTGAAAAAGCTCCAAAATATTTTTAGCTATTGCATGATTGTGCAAAATGATTATCAATTTTAACCTATATCATTTTTAATTCCGTAGTCTGAAATAGAATAGATTACATACGTAGTACTTGTATAAAATGTGTTGATATACAAAATATATTGGTGATATTAATATTAAATTCTAATATTATGCAAAAGTTGTTACGAAAAATAATTTAACAATACTAACTATTTACTATTATTATTATTTTTATTATTATCTAGTGTTCATAACCTTCCGACTCTCAAAACATTATTGTTTGATTACCTAAGTTCTTGTAACAACGCCTCCCCTTCGGTTATTGTAGAATGGCACGCATCCAAACAAGAATCCCGCTGGTGACTGACTTGTTCTAGAGCTCTTTCAGTTCCTTCCAGAGTGTCTGCTGCCTCATCACAACCATCAGTTTCGGCTCTGAGTTCATCGAGCCAGCCTTGGAGCTATAATATATAATACATAAGTAACACAACACACGTCGATCGATAGAAGACAATATATATTATTGTACGTGCAGTGCACAATTATATGATGAAGTCAACGGGACAGAAGGATCCACTATTGTTTGCGTGTTAATAGTTTTATATTATTATACTCATACCTATGTATTTAGAAACGTATCTAGGTTAATTTATCTTGGTATTTGGAGTATTATTTTAGCTAGGTACTTCATCAATTCTACTTTTTTTTTCTGAAATTATGATTTATGTTAATCTATTTTTTAAAGAACGATTTTCGAAATTATAAATAACAAATATTCTAGACAATATGTAACTAAACATTTCTGGTAAAAAATATATAAACTTTTTTAAATAATTGTAACAAAAAAAAATATTATATTTGTAATCAATTTACCTATATAATAAGTTTTTACTTATATCAAGTTATCCATGTTACTTTGTAAAATAAGTATTTTATAATTACTGTATATTATGAAGAAAAATAATAATATTAACCTAGAGAAATAGCTTTATTTGTTGAATTTAAATCCATATACGTTTTCCAATATTTTTTGTTACTTTTAGAGCTACAATCAACAAATCCTCTTCTATAAATATTAAATTAGTCTAATCAACTAAGTACACCAACTATATATTATACTATTAAGATTTGGTATACTTTACACACTTATTTAAAGAAAATTAAACATCAAAGAGCAGTAAAAAAAAATTATTCCCTAATTTTGTTCTGTTATTTTTACCTCAGACTGATGGGTATAGAAATTCACCGCTCTCTGCAAACGCCGTCTTCTAGCTTGAACACGAGCCGCAAAAGCGGCTACATGACTTTCAAGTTCAGCGGCTACCGAGCAAATGTCAGACGCGTCACATTCACCAGTTTGAGACAGTTCTTCGGCAGCCGTCAGCAATTTCTCAGCATTAGTATACGTGTTCTGAAATTTAAATAGATACGTGTTATATATTATATTGTTATTCATTAAATATTTTAATGATTTTTTTGATTTTTAATACTGTGCCTTAATCATATTCATTAATAATTATATTATAGTCGTTCGATGAAATTATTAATTTTTTTTTTTTTT